ACATTTTTTTAAATGCAGGAGATCAATTTCAAATATATGATGAACATTATTCTTTAAACGTGTCGAACTTTTTTTGCAATGTACATTGAACATTTTTTCTATATTATAGGATGATTATTTCTAATGCATGCATGACAAACATTTTTTTCACACATACTAAATATTTTTTCACACATTTTTTCACACAAACATTTCTGATGGTAACCGGAATAGGCGTCTAAAAAAGACAGGCGCTCACATCCCGCTGTTGAGTTGACTATTTGGTCGATGCGGGGGAGAGGAAAATGATCTTTTGGGCATGCCCGATTGATATGTTTTAAATCAATGCACATGCGAAGTGACTTGTCCTTCTTGGGGACCATGAAAACATTGGCGAGCCATTCGTAGGGGTAAATCTCTCGGATAAACTCTGCTGCTAAGAGCCGAGCCACCTCTTTGCCAATGGTCTTTCTCTTCTGGACGGTGGACCGTCGAAGATGCTCCTTGACAGGTTTCACTTTTAAGTCGACTCGTAGACGATGCTCAGCCAACCCGCTAGGAACACCTGGCATGTTTGAAGGCTTCCATGCGAAGATGTCCCAGTTCTCACGGAGAAACTGGATGAGCGCTTCTTCCTATTTGGAGTCGAGTGTTGTAGAAATATGGCTCGGAGCAGCACTGGGGTCGGTCGGGTGAATGTGAATCGGCTTGGTCTCACCGGACGACTGAAACGCTGATTCCATAGCAGGCTTCTTGGCTCGCAACAAGTCACTCGGATCTGCAGTTTTCTGGTATTCATGTAGCTCTAGCACTGCCATCTGAGCATCGGCGATCTTTGAGCCCTTCTGAAAGCACTCTTCTGCCTTCTTCCGGTTGCCAGTAATGGTCATCACACCTTTGGGACTAGGCATTTTCAATTTGAGGTACACATAACATGGTCGAGCCATGAAACGTGCATAAGCTGGTCTGCCCAAAATAGCATGATAAGCACTCTGGAAATCCACAACTTCAAACGTCAACTTTTCTTTGCGGTAATTCTTGAAATCACCGAAAACCACATCAAGAGCAATTTGGCCGAGTGACTCAGCCTTCTTCCCAGGAATGACTCCATGGAAACTCATGTTGCTGGTACTGAGTCTGGACATCGGAATGCCCATCCCTTTCAACGTCTCTGCATACAAAATATTCAGGCCACTGCCACCATCCATCAAAACTTTAGTCAGCCGAGTGCCTTCGACGGCTGGGTCGACCACCAAAGCTTGCCTCCGAGGGGTGGCTATGTGTGTCGAATGATCGGACTGGTCGATGTGATGGCAGTCTGAGACCATTTCAGATAACTGGGTGTCACCGGAGCAACCATATTCACCTCACGGTTGATAACTTTCAATCGACTTTTGCTTTCAACATCAGCAAAAATCATCAGGGTGGAATTGACCTGTGGATATCCATCATCACTATGTTCTTTGTCTTCAACTTTGTCCGACTCCTTTTCCTTATCCTTGGACTGTTTTCCCTGGAATTGTTGGATCAAGAGCCGACACTGTCGAGTGGTATGTTTTGGATAAATGAATTTACCCTCCTCATCTTTCTTCGTGTGGATGTGGCACAGCAAATCCATTACGGCATTCCCTTCCTTGTGCTTCACCTTCTTAGGGTTCCAAGACCCTTTGGGCTTCCCTTTAAATTTTCCTTGAGTTACGGCCAAGGCTTCTCCAGGAGCAGCTGGCTCGGCTTTCCGCTTCTGCTTCCGACTGGAGTTCCCTCCCCCGGTTTCATGGGCAGCTGACTTGTACTTGCCACTCCAGAGCCGATCCTCTTCTTCACCATTAGCATACTTGGTGGCAATCTCCATCATTCGACTCAGAGTCATGTCACCGGTTCGACCGAATTTCAGACTCAGCTCTCCGTTCTTAACGCCTTCCTTGAAGGCACAGACTACCTGGTGATCAGATACATTCTCTACTGTGTGATGCAATGTGATCCATCTCTGAATGTAATCTCTCAGAGTTTCATTCGACTTTTGCACACACGACTGCAGCTCTGTCAGCCCTGCTGGCCGCTTGCAAGTTCCTTCAAATGTCCTGACAAACACTCAGGCAAGATCTTCCCAAGTGTAAATGCTGTTGGGTGCTAACTGATTCAACCATGCTCTAGCTGAGCCCTCCAACATAAGAGGTATATGTTTCATGGCCACCTCATCATTGCCGCCGCCAATCTGAACAGCCACTCGGTAGTCCTCAAGCCAAGTATCAGGCTTGGACTCACCAGTGAACTTACTGACTCTGGTCGCCAACCTGAAGTTAGGAGGAATCACCGCGGCCCTGATGGCTCTTCTAAAACACTCTGGTCCTGAGACATGTACTCTGCTGCTGGTGGGCACATCTCTGTCATGGCCTTCTTGGTGAGCTCTGTTCCTGTCGACCAAACCTTGAACGATAATGGATCTTGCATCAAAGTCTGGCTCCCTAGGGTCGACTGGAATCCTTCGCCCAACACTGTGATGGCGTCTGTCATCCTGCTGTCGAGGCACGTACGACCCACCCCTTGGGGGAGGAGTGGGCACTCAACGTCGATCATCACGATCGAATCGGTCATCATACTGATCATGTCGGCCTCCACGTCCCTCACGCCTCGGGGGTGATCTTGGGCTATGGGCCAACTGGACTGTATTCGCAGCGACGGATCTGCTGTGAATCCTATTCCGCGACTGCGATACAGTCGAATTTTGATCTCCTGCTGCCCGGAGTAAATCTCTGATCTGTAGCAAGCCTCTGCCAGCCTCTGACTGGGAAGGCTGAATCGACTCTGCTATATGGGTTGCAGCTGCTAGATTCTGAATCAGAGTTCGATATACCTGAGTCGGTGGTGGAAAGAGTTGGCGTGGACTGGAGTCTGGAACCCGTTGCTGCGCACGCTCGTCGAGGGCTCGCTGGAGGTTTTCCAGTCGAGTGCGCTCAGCCAAGTTGGCCAAACGCGCGTCCTCTAAGGCACGAGCCTCGGGGGTTTCTCCAACGATAGGAGTATGCAGCACATCCATGTTCCGGCGGTGAAGTTCTTCCCTTTGTAGCGACGTGAGGGGCTCGGGCTGATATTCTTCGTGGGCGTGCGCCGGATCGCCTCCCCCATCGACTCCGTCGGTGCGGGGAAAACCAGGAGGACTGCGTGGTCCATTGACCATCAGAACCTCCGCCGCTGGATCACTGCTGTCGCACTCGGATGCAGTCTCTACGGAGCCAGTCGACAGGTCGAACATGCCATAGAGAGATTCGTCGGGCTCGATCGCCGTGACTTGGGGAGTGGCCGACTGGCGAGCCACCGCGTGCCTCACCCACCGCTGAAGCCTCGACCGACCGGAGTGCTTGCGCTGGTAGGAGACAGGGAGGGAGGACGACACAGGGGTCGACCGATACTGTGTCGACGGTTGCCGCAGGAGGACGCCGTGGACGCACGCGCGAAAGTGCGTCGCCCCGCGGACGGGGAGCACGTCGATGTCGAGTGGAGCCTCCTGAAGCCAAGCGGAGTCGTCGGCGATGAACGTGAGCGGGCCGAGACGGATCTCGCGGCCCTCAACCAAAACTCCGCCCGAAACCATGATGAAGGAGATCGGAACAATTGCAACTTCTCTAATAAGTCGCTAAGACACCTACCCTACGGTGGGCGCCAATTGTCGTGGTTCTAAGTCTGACAGTAGAATAGGGGGGTAGGAATGGAGAGGAAAGATCCTAGCTATAGAGTAGTTGCATATGCAAGAGATTTACGAGTTCAGGCCCTTCTCGGAGGAAGTAATAGCCCTACGTCTCGGAGCCCGGAGGCGGTCGACAGGATTATATGCGTATGAGTTACAGGGGTGCGAACCCTTGACACTAAGGAGGGGGGTGGCTTATAGAGTTCGCCAGACCCCTCCGGCCCTCAGTTATGTAGGGTTTAAAGTACATTAAGATCGGGGATTACTGGTAACGCCCCACATAAAGTGATATGATGACCATAAAAGCTACTTAATGACCGACCGTTTGTGTGCAGACTGACTTTAGATCTCCTGGCGGTCGAGTGGTTGGCTTCATGGTCGAGTGTCTTCAAGTCCGTCGAGTGGAATACTTCTGAGTCGACTGACAAGTGGTTTCTTCTAGAGATGTCCTTGGGGAGGGTATCTTGGACAGGTCCATGACCCTACCCTAGGTACATGGCTTCATCACTCGGCGCAGACGGTCGTCGACAGGAACGCCGGCAGCTATCCGTTGTTGGCGCCAGCACGACGACGGGCCTGGCCAATCCATGTCCATTGTTGACCTACCTTCACTGGTGATGCCCAGGTCGCGGACTCAAACAAGGAGGAGTAGGGCATATGGGAGACGGTGGCGCCTTGTATCCCATGTGAGCTAGTCCGTGTGACATGTCCTACTCTTCCTCGCCGGAAACCGCACCTTCACTTCGTGGGGCTCACGGCCGCCGAACATGGGCATGGAATGGAACAAGGACATGGAGGATTGACGCGGGTGATCGCTTTTGTTTAATGAAATATGTCGAAAATGATACTGAATGTGGTCCGGTTTAAATGAAAATCATCTGGTTTGTTTAAATTTGCTTTGAAAATGTATGCGGACACAGTTGGATGGTCTGATCTCGTATCACCATCTATGGATGCGTCCGCGGAGGTCCACCACGTTGGAGACGCCATTATGGTACATTTGGGTTCGGGAGTGCTGATACAACCCAGACAATAATTTTAGGGTGATTACCTGTGCAGAAAGTTGAGAAAAATGACTAGTATTCTGATGCAAAGCTCATCAAGTGCATATTTGTTCAACCAATAGTACAAGTTTGAGTCATACATTTACATGAGAAAATATTAGTATGTATTTACATGATCATGCTTGCTGGACATCTGGTTGATCCATGAACAACAGCCAATACAAAACACGACCTGTTTCTTTTTTACACATAAAACTGCAATAACCAAGAAAAATCCATAGAGAGATGGTGCGTAGACCAAACCAGAACATAAGAGAGGATCGACGGACACCTCACCATCTTTCAGATCCAACCGCACTAGTGCGAGCCGGAGCAACCCCGACACAAGCGCAAGCACGCGTCTGCGTTCTGGGCCTGACCGCCCACGAGGTCACTCCCCTGAAGAGAGCCCTCAGCGTCGGACGAGGCTCCTCTGACGTACTGCAAGGTGCAGTCGGGCCACTGACAGGTGGGCCCGAAAGCAAGTCACCTTCCTGTTCCCGCGGGCCCTGAACGCCACGACCTGCTGGTTCTTTCCCTCTTCAGTGGGAGTGATCCCCTCCCGCCGGGACTCACGAGGGGACGGCGGGCCAGCGACAGCGAGGTGCCGGTCCAGGATCCTGTTGAGGGAGGCCAGCTCGTAGGAGTCGTGCAGCGAGCTCCCCGTGTCATAGGCTGCGTTGCCATCTCTCAAATGCTTCCGAGGCATCTTATGAGCGAGCTGCTGGAGGCAGGAGGTAGAAGATGCAGTCGAGGAAGAGGACGAGAGAGCAGAAATGGTTGCGCCTCAGCATTTGTCAAGACGAATGGGTTGCCCCTGAGCGTTTATTTTATGATCTTTGTTTGTTTATGATTTTCGACCGCGTAATGATACGCATAATTTAAGTATGATGTGTGCAAAGTTGACACAGTACTAGCAATAAACTACTCCGTGGTTCTGGCTTTTGGGAAGATCGAACATAGCAGAGCATCAGAACCAGCTGTTCATCAAACACAGAGGACAGCTTGGCATTTTTCCTCTTCCGCTTGAAACGACCAAATCAAGAAAGATAGATTAGGCACAAATGTACGTGCTGCAGGTGCGTTGCCTTTGAGTTTCAAGTTTCAAGCCTTGAAACAGCTTCGCAGATCATCGTAGAAATGATACGCAGGATCGCAAGTAGACTGCGGCAGATCGCATACTTGCACGCAACTACTTGCAACAAGAGGCGAGTGCCGCTGTCGAGTTCTAAATCCGTTTTGGGGTGTTGCAAACTGACAGCCGGTGGACGCGACGAGCTGCACGGGACCGACGAAAGAACCAGGCTTTAGGAGACTTTTTTTTGAATAAAACGAACCACCATAATATAACGGATGTTTTTTGATAACATAACGCATGCTGGCACAAGCGGCACGGAAGCTTTGCAAAATTATTATGAGGCTATGGGTAAGCGCCAATATTTGGAGCATAAGATGGAAGCTTGGGCTGAGGAGGCTGTTAATGAGTGAGGGCCAATTGATCATTTGCCCCATCTTTGCTCTAGCTGGGTTAATATGCCCCCACCTTCTTTACTCTCCTTCTAGATAAAATGTCACACATTAAATTTAAGTTTTTGTCTTTGATTAATTGCTGAAATTAGGGATGAAAAGGGACATAAATGCCCCTGACAAAAATCAACAAGAACATACACACAGACGCATCGGGTTGGCTAGCTCCTGTTCGCTCGTTCGCTTGCACAACATGCGAGCTGCCGCCGTCACTACCTAGGTTTACCTCCTGCACCGCCGGCCGCCTCCACCTGCCGCCCTCATTCATGTTCTCTGCTCCTCTTACTTGTCATATCTTTTGTCTTCCTCCACCGTCCATCTGCTCGCCCGCCTCCTCGAGCGTCGTGAGCTCTCCCATCTCCTCGACCGTCGTGAGCTCGCCCCTCTCCTCCACGTCCCCCACCGCATGCATCTCTCGTGTTCCTTGGCCCCGTTCCATTCGTGATGAACCAGCTGCAGCCTACCATGTTCGGCGAGAGGGGGTGCACCTAGGTGAGCTACCCTCACTCTACACCCGGTTATTCCCCGATGTGTTGCTCTATTTTGTGATGTAGAGTGAAAATTGGAACTCATGTAATGGAAAACTTCATGTATTTGTATTTGTATGACTAATGCGCCAAACTTGCTGGACAGCAAGTATATATGCCATTTTCTCTACTATAGTTGCTTAGAATTGGCTGACATTTGAATATAGCACTAATATGAATATACTTGATTTTCTGTATTTTTTAGGTTATTCTAGGCAGTTCACATTTTTACCCCAAATTTTAACAAATTTGGACAGATTTTGTAGTGTCATTTTCTCTTTGTTCCCTGTCCAGAATTGGCTGAATTTGAACAACGGTAATATGAATATACTTGTTTTTTTTTCGTAATTGTCTGAGTTTTTTCTAGGCAGTTCAGATTTTCACCCAAAACTTGAACAAATTTGCACAGAAGTCTGAAATCTCGTTTTCTCTTTGCTCATTCTCCATCTTAAAGTTGGACACTACACTACTAGGATTATACTTCTTTTTATGTAAAAAAATTAGATTTTTTTGATAGGCTAGTTTTTGGACAAAATTTAAATTTCTTGCGGCATTCACACAATTGCATGAGCTACTAAAATTTTGTTTTTTGTTTAAGGTATTTTTGTAAAAAAAAATCACCCTCTCATTATTGTCATATGGTAAAGATACACCATCAAGTTAAGTGTGCGTGGCATTTTGTCTCAAGGCAGAGCAAATATGAGGCATTTTATTAATTGCAATATAAGGTGGGGAATATTTGCCCAGGCAGAGCAAACGTGGAGCAAATGATCAATTAGCCCCAACGAGCCATCAAATGCGATAGATCAGTTACATTTGGATTTGTTTGACTTTTTTTGTCAGAATGTCATTACCAAATGGACTCGACATTTCCAATGCTTTGCCGACAACCCGTGACAGTAGTGATGATGGGGCTCTTGATAGCTACAAGGAAGTCGTCCGCATAAGGAGCAAAGCAGATCGGGATGTAAATCTGTCATACCTTTAGTTGAGGCCAACAAATATGACTCCAACTTTGTCACTCTTGGAGCACCACACCTACATTGACGAGTTCAGCCCAACACACAAAAACCAATTAAGCTAGCTAGAAGTGTACTAGTACAAAGTTGAGTCATCTATTTTGGAATGGAGGGAGTAGATCTTACACACAACCCACATGATTGTTCCTTCTATCCTTTCATATTTCAAAACTCTCAGTTAACTAACTAGTATAAATTATCCTATTTATGATTAAAGTATTTAAATACCTCCACATTTATGGTTAGCATTTGGCATTGCCAATATTTGGCAAGCCAACATTAGGCAAAATCAGAAGTTGCCAACATTTGGCAATTTTTTGTGAGATTGGCAACGAGAATTGGCAAGCAACCAATGTCTAGCCAATATTTGGCAGTTGCCAAAGTTTGGCATGCCAACTTTTGATATCAAACCAATTATGCTCTTAAATATAACCACATTTGTGGTTAGTTACATAATGCAACTGATCTAGACATATTTTTTTTTCAAAAAACACCAATGAGGCAATTAGCTCATTTTAAACACGGTTCTAACTGGTTGGGCCTGCTTGTAAGCGTTGAGGTGGCACAAAATTTTAAGATCCCTTGTGTTCACTGTTAAGGTGGATGTGGGGTCCACTCATCAGAGTGAACACTGATCTCTTATGATCTCTCTCTATGTAGCATTTCTTCGCCCAGGTGGTGAACACTAATCTATTATGATTTGATAAACATTTATTTACATAGTCATATTAATACTATCAAATAAATCATGCTCTACTGTTTTAGAATATTTATATTTCATTGCAATTATGTACTCGTCCCATAATATAAAATCGTTTTGTAGCTAAAACAACTTACAAAACAATCTTATATTATGAAAACGGAGGGAGTAGTATACAGGCGCATGGTTGCACAGTCACACGAATCCAATCACGCTGCAAGTGAGATCAACGGAAACCGGCAGTTGCACTTGTTCGCCTTCTGTTTCCATGGACCCCTTGGAACACTGTGCCGTTGTCTCCCAGGGCCCATCTCGAACTCGGCCCTTGCAGGCGCCACCGGCCCACGAGACGCCTGTCCGCCACAGGCAAACTCATCATCATCATCACGGGTGAGCCAGTGGGCCGCCGTGTCCTGGACCACACAAAAGCCGAGAGCTGTTCTGCATTCTGTACTGTAGATAGATGTAAACTGTAGTCGGTTTGCAGGTTGCTAACCTCTCTGTTTTGTGGTACCAATGGTCCAATTTCTCCAGCCACTCTGTCAGAAATTAAGAAGACGTTAGAACTATTGGCGTAGTTACAGCTAGTGAGCTGATGAGTCAGGATGCTAGTGCATAGTTGCCGCTACAATGCTCAGAACAGGGAAAATGCAGGGATCGGTACTGGGCCTCAGGGTGGCGCTGTTAATGAACGCAACGTACAACATCAGCTTGTTCTAGGTAAGCGATCAACAAATGACTCTTGATCCTTAAATGCAGCTAGTGTAGTAGAGAGTACCATTGATGAGTACAGTGGAGCTATACCCTCGCACAAACAAATAATACGAGCTATAATTCCTGTGGGAAATACCCGACATTATTGGGACGTGGAGCTATACCCTCGCTCAAATGCTCCGGGTGTGAATAGTAAAATAAATAAAAAAATTTCAAAAAATTCTAAAAAAATTGGGCATAGTTTAAGAAATGCCGGCGGCAAAGTTGTGCCTGCAAAATTTCGTTTCGAAATGACATTGGTGGAAGGCGTGGTAAAAAAACAAAATCGATGCTCTAAAAATGTAACTTTCAAACGCATTTTGAAGCTCTTATTTATGGAGCAACGCTGGCGGTGGCGCGGCGGCATCGAAGGCGGCGCGGCCTGCGGGCAAGACGGCGGCAGCAGCGCTCCATCTGCCTTTGGATCAGCGGCGGTGGCGTGGAGGGCCTGGTGGTCACGTCGGCGGCACCTCCGGTCAGATCTGTTCTGACCGGTGCAGCCGGCGGTGGTGGTCATCTCTTTCGTCAGAGGTGGTCGGCCTGCGGCTGGGTGGTCGGATCTCGAGATTCGTCATCTAGTCCTGGCTACGAGTCAGGGAGACATAGTTGCCGGTGAAAACCAAGCCGTTGGCGGGCGATGGCGGCGTTTTTGCGCTGTTACCTTCATGAAGGCACCACCCAGTCGTGCTGCTTCAGGGGAAACCCAATGATCTGGTCTTTCAGATCGGACGATGACGGTACTACGGTGTCGTTACTCTCTTGGGAGCATCGTTTGTGGAGCAGCGCTGGAAGACAGAAGCTGGAGGTGGAGCGGCTTCGTCTTGCACGAAGCTTCACTGGAGCTGTCAAGTCATGCATGGCCGACAAGTGCTACGCTGAGTCATGCCTGGTTGGCAGGTGCTACGCACGACAGATCTTCCAGAGTCTTCGCGTCTGGACGGACGAGCGCAGGGGGGTGTCGCCGTTGGGCGCCGTGATGGCGCCGATGGATGTTCGGACTGGCAAGGATGATGCAGATCTCTCTCCTGAAGATGGAACAGTGGTCTGATGATGATGACGGCTTCTAAAACGTGTGCATGTTTAGGTAGGCTACACCGACTGTTGGTCCCGATACGTTATATGGATGGATTGACGCACCGGTTTTAGATATGGGAAGTGAGAGCACTCCATATTATCGAATTTG